AAAAAAAAAAAAAAGAATAGGTCACAGGGTCACAGCAACAATTTATTGCCTTATCACAGATCTAGGCTGTTAATTTAATTTGTATGATCGTATATAATTCCCAATCTTAACAAATGAGGGTGTTGAGTTCTAGAATGCTGATTTTCTTTTTTCTTTAAACTTAAGGCTCCAGCACAGTTCATTCAAGACAGCATCGAGGTCTGAGTCCCTCTTTTCAGCCTTGACAGACCAAGTTTAAGAACCAGGGTTTCCTTTTGTAGAGGGGAGAGGGCCTGGAAATGGTGGGTAGTCTCTGACTCTTAACTGGCTCTGCTTCCCACCTAGGTCCTGACATCTGTGGCCCTGGCACCAAGAAGGTTCATGTCATCTTCAACTACAAGGGCAAGAACGTGCTGATCAACAAGGACATCCGTTGCAAGGTGTGCCTGGGGGCGGTGGTGGCAAATGGCTGTCATGGGAGGTTCAGAGGTCGGCCTGACTAGGGGGGCCCCAATCACCTCCTTCCTTCTTCAGGATGATGAGTTTACACACCTGTACACACTGATTGTGCGACCGGACAATACCTACGAGGTGAAGATCGACAACAGCCAGGTGGAGTCGGGGTCCTTGGAGGATGATTGGGACTTCCTGCCACCCAAGAAGATAAAGGATCCTGCTGCTTCAAAACCGGACGACTGGGATGAGCGGGCCAAGATCGATGATCCCACAGACTCCAAGCCTGAGGTTGGTGTTTAGGGAGGGGGTCTGCTTTCCACACTGGAGGGTGTGTAGGACAGCTGGGCCAACTCTGGCCTCTTCTACCCTCCAGGACTGGGACAAGCCTGAGCATATTCCTGACCCTGATGCTAAGAAGCCTGAGGACTGGGATGAAGAGATGGATGGAGAGTGGGAACCCCCAGTGATTCAGAACCCTGAGTACAAGGTGAGTTTGGGGTTCTGAGCAGGGCTGGAGCTCACAGTGGGGAGTCCATCAACCTCACTCACCCTCTGGTTCTTTTCTCCCTTATGCCTTCTGCAGGGCGAGTGGAAGCCCCGACAGATCGACAACCCAGATTACAAGGGTACTTGGATCCACCCAGAAATTGACAATCCCGAGTATTCCCCTGATCCCAATATCTATGCCTATGATAACTTTGGTGTGCTGGGCCTGGACCTCTGGCAGGTGAGACTTGGAGGGAAAAGGAGGATCTTTGGGGTACCTCAAGTGCTTACCATCACCCAGGAGGAAAGGGACAGGGTAGGATCACACCCCAGGAAGGTCTGACTCAAAAATGGTACTTCTCTAAACAGTACTTCCTGGTGTGTCCTTATGGAGTCCTCACAGCAGACCCTTTGAGGTTGTACTTCTTGTGCACCAGGTACTTCCCCAAGTACTTTTATGCAAATCAACTTCTTTAAATACCCCTAGAAAGCTAGAAAGTGGTCAGGGAACACAAAGTTAGCTGGGGCTAGGCATAGTGGCTCACCCTTATAATCACAGTACTTTAGGAGGCTGAGGCAGGAGGATTGCTTCAGGCTAGGAGTTTGACAGCTCAACCTTGCTTGGCAACATAGTGAGACCTCATCTCTACACAAACTTTAAAATTAGCCAGATGTGGTGCATACCTGTAGTCCTGGCTACCTAGGAAGAAAGGATCACTTGAGCCTGGGGCATTGAGGCTCCAGTGAGCCATGACTGTGTCACTGCACTCCAGCCTGGGTGATGGAGTGAGACCTTGTTTCAAAAAAAAGCTGGCACTGAATTTTTTTGGTCACTGAAATACCTTCTATGCCCAGGACAGTACCTGGCATGTAGTAGGTACCTGAACAGGAGAGAGAGAAACAGAAACTGGTGCAGAGAAGTGAAGTCAGTGACCCAAGGTCATGAGGGCAGGAAACTGCAAAGCCGGGGTTTGAACCGGGTATTCCGGCATCCAGCACCCGAGTCTCTCCATCTTTTTTTTTTTTTTTTTTAAATGTTGGGCTTATAGGCGTGAGCCACAGCACCTGGCCCTAACATTTTTTTCATACAAGATTTTCTTTATTTTTATTTATTTTTTATTTATTTATTTTTAAAATTTTTTTTTTTTGAGACGGAGTTTCGCTCTTGTTACCCAGGCTGGAGTGCAATGGCGCCATCTCGGCTCACCGCAACCTCCACCTCCTGGGTTCAGGCAATTCTCCTGCCTCAGCCTCCTGAGTAGCTGGGATTACAGGCACGTGCCACCATGCCCAGCTAATTTTTTGTATTTTTAGTAGAGACGGGGTTTCGCCATGTTGACCAGGATGGTCTCGATCTCTTGACCTCGTGATCCACCCACCTCGGCCTCCCAAAGTGCTGGGATTACAGGCTTGAGCCACCGCGCCTGGCCCATCTTTTTTTTTTGAGTCTTGCTCTGTCACTCAGGCTGGCACACAGTGGTGTGATCATGGCTCACTCTGCCTCCCAGGTTCAAGCAATTCTCATGCCTCAACCTCTTGAGTGGCTGGAATTACAGGCATGCACCACAATGCCGGGCTTATATATATATATATATATATTTTTTTTTAAGTAGAGACAGGGTTTAACCATGTTGCCCAGGTTGGTCTTGAATGCCTGGTATCAAGTGATTTGCCTGCTTCAGCCTTCCAAAGTGCTGGGATTACAGGCATGAGCCGCTGTGTCTGGCCGTCTCTCTCTCTTTTTAACTGCAGTGTCAGTAGTGTTCCTGGTCTTCTCTGCAGATGCAGGAAGCAGGATATAGTGGTTATAGAACCACAGGTGGAAACCCTGTCCAAAGCAAGGGTTGTCGGGTGTCACCTCTGACGATCCTTCCCATTCATCCCCCAGGTCAAGTCTGGCACCATCTTTGACAACTTCCTCATCACCAACGATGAGGCATATGCCGAGGAGTTTGGCAATGAGACGTGGGGTGTAACAAAGGTGAGGCCTGTTCCCAGTCCCGATGGTGGGGGTCAGGCAGGGCTGTCAGGGGCTAGGCCCTGAGGTATGTGCTCTGCTTGCAGGCAGCAGAGAAGCAAATGAAGGATAAACAGGACGAGGAGCAGAGGCTCAAGGAGGAGGAAGAAGACAAAAAGCGCAAAGAGGAGGAGGAGGCAGAGGACAAGGAGGACGATGACGACAAAGATGAGGATGAAGATGAGGAGGAGGACAAGGAAGAAGATGAGGAGGAAGATGTCCCCGGCCAGGCCAAGGACGAGCTGTAGAGGCTTGTCTCCAGGGCTGGACTGAGGCCTGAGCGCTCCTGCCGCAGAGCCGGCTGCGCCAAATAATGTCTCTATGAGACTCAAGAACTTTCATTTTTTTCCAGGCTGGTTCGGATTTGGGGTAGATTTTGGTTTTGTTCCCCTCTCCCACTCCTCCCCCTGTGCCTTTTTTTTTCTTTTTCTTTTCTTTTTTTTTTTTTTAACTGGTGTTTTATCTTTGATTCTCCTTCAGCCCTCACCCACGGTTTTCATTTTTCTTGATCAACATCTTTTCTTGCTTCTGTCCCCTTCTCTCACCGTATCTCTTAGCTCCCCTCCAACCTGGGTGGGGGGCAGTGATGTGGAGAAGCCGCAGGCCTAAGATTCCATCTGCTCTCCTTCCTGGAGCCCAGAGGGGGGCAGAAGAAGGGGGTGGCATCTCCAGCCCCCCAGCACTGAGGAAGAATGGGGCTCTTCTCATTTTACCCCTCCCTTTTTCCCCTGCCCCCAGGACTGGGCCACTTCTAGGTGGGGCAGTGGGTCCCAGATCGGCTCACACTGAGAATGTAAGAACTACAAACAAAATTTCTATTAAATTAAGTTTTGTGTCTCCCTCCTGTGTCTCCTTCTGGGGAAAGACTTCAGGAAAGCCAGCAGTGGTCTTTTTGGAAGGGAGGGTGTTCTCCAGTATATCTCCTTTTTCAGCTGTTGCTAGGGAGGTTGCTGAGTGTTCCACAGATTCCAGGGTCCCTTATTTATCCCATAACCCTCAAAACTAACGAGGGAATGGCTCTTGCTGCTGTAAATACATATCAACTCAATGAATTCATGAACCTAACTGGTAAGTTTTAGTTCTGTTTATTCTTAAGACAGTCTTGCTCTGTTGCCCAGGCTGGAGTGCAGTGGCACAATCTGGTTCACACTGCCCCTTAAAGTGGCCTCCTTCGTGCTTCAATTCCTTTTGGGGTCCTGTGGCTCAGCCCAACTCCTCTGGGAAGCCTCCATGATTGGTACATTCAAGGGATTTATGGAAATAATTCTGTATTTAATATAGGAAGGCTTTGAAAGTTAGCATCTTTAAATACTTTTTGGGGTCAGATTAAAAGTACTGGCAGGAGACCCAGAACTAAAATTGGAGGTTCATTTCAAAAATCCAAATGCCTCAAGAATGAGGGTACAAAATGGCCCCTTGCCCCCACTTCCAACTTAAGGTTTTTTTTTTTTTCCTCTTGGTGGCCTGTCAGGTATTTCTAGTTTTCAGTAACTTACACTTTGCTCTACAGGGCTCCTGCCAGGATGGCCATACCAGAATAAAACTTTTGGTGGCCGGGCACAGTGGCTCAAGGCCTGTAATCCTAGCACTTCGAGAGGCCCAGGCAGGTAGATCAGGAGGTTGAGACCAGCCTGGCCAACATGGTGAAACCCCATCTCTACTAAAAATACAAAAGTATCTCTTCGTGGTTGGGGGTCCCTGTAATTTCACTGGGAGGCAGAGGGCAGTGAGCCAAGATCTCAATACTGCACTCCAGCTTGGGTGACAGAGACAGACTCAAACACCTTATTTTGAAGAGGCAGAAAATATTTTTATAGAAGAAATACGTATGTCTGTAACAAGTGCAAGGACATGAAAATTTGTGTTAAATATCAAGAAAACTCATTTGAGAGTCTAAGTGGGGACGCCAGTCATTTGTAGCCCCATGACGTCACTGCTAATGGGCATGCCGTCACTCATGAGACCACGTGTGCTGGCAGAGCGTGAAGCCCCCTTCCCTTGCACAACGCGGAGTTTAGTCTGCGCATGCCCCGCCCGAGGACGCACTTGTGCGCATGCCCACAAAGGCCAAGGGCGAGGGGAGGCGAGCGCAGGTCACGTACGCTGGTGGTCAGCGCACGCATTGCCTGCCCCGGAAGTGGTCGGCACGCGGCGCGGCTGGGCGCTAAGATGGCGGCGGCGTGAGTTGCATGTTGTGTGAGGATCACGGGGCCGCCGCGTTTGCTCGGGCCCCGCCATGGCCGTCACCATCACGCTCAAAACGCTGCAGCAGCAGACCTTCAAGATCCGCATGGAGCCTGACGAGACGGTGCGGGCCGGGCCGGAGCCCGAGGGCGGGAGCGACGGGTGCTGCGGGTGGGGTGGTGGCAGGGAGGCTGGGATCCCAACGGGAGGGGCTGGGAGGACGGCGCGGGCTGGGCCCTGCCCAGACCCCCAACCTGCCGGACTTTCATGGACCTCCCCACGGTGGTCTTTGGCCCAGCTCCCAGCGGATCGCGCGGCGCTCCTGGGCCGGTCTCCGGACAAGGCCCCACCCCCGGGGCGCTGGCCAGGGCCCGGCTCCAATGTCAGCGTTCTCGCGGGGCGCAGGAGCTATTGGCTCGGATTCGTGGGCAGGCCAGGCTCTCCAGTACCGGGGCTCCACGTTCCCAGCTTTGCAGGCGTCTCTTTGGGACAGTGGTGGTCGAATCTAGGAGTAATGACCAGGAGATAACCGAGTAGTAACGACAACTACGATGTTAATGATAATAAACGGGTCTCAGTCTTTATATTTTGGTGGTTCGTGTTTGTTGACCGTTTACTTTTTATAAGTCACCGATCGTTTTATTGTTATTTTACTGCTCTGCAAAACGGGCTTGTCATTGGACCTCTGACCATTTTACAGATGTAGAAACCTAGGGCTTAAGGAACTTTGCCACAGTCACACACAGGTAATGGTAGAGCTGGGATTCAAATTAGGTTCTGCCTTGTGTGAGCGTCCACGATATAAACGTTATGATGCCCTTTTAGCCGAAAGTAGAATTAGGATCTAATTAAAGCATAGTGAATGTCTGTTGGGTACTTGGCACTTTTTGCACCGTGAGGGAGGCATTGAAGTCCACTTTTTGTAGAAAAGAAAACTCACATTTTTTGATCACCTCACCTTTTTGGCTTTGGACAAGTTAACCTCTCTGTGCCTCCGTTTTCTCAAATATAAAATGAGCCGGTCGCCTGCTGGCTTCTGCCTGTAATTACAGCACTTAGGGAGGCAGAGACAAGAGGATCCCTTGAGCCTAGGAATTTGAGATCATCCTGGCAACACAGCGAGACCCTGTTGTCCACAAAAAGAAGAAACAAAAATGAATAAATAAAATGAGGTCAATGATACATATTTGATAGTTGGGAAGCTTAAAAGGTATGATGCATAAACAATTACGGTAGCACTATTGGCCAAGCACGGTGGCTCATGCCTCTGTAATCCTAATGATTGGGAGGCAGAGGCAGGAGGATTGCTCGAGGCCAGGAGTTTGAGACCAGCCAGCCTAACAGGGATACTCTATTTACAAAAAAGAAAAAAATTTAAATTAGCTTGGAGTGGTGGTGTGCACCTTTATTCCCAGCTACCCCCGAGGCTGGGTGAGAGTACCACTTGAACCCAGGAGTTTGAGGCTGCAGTCAGCTATGATTGTGCCACTGCAATTCAGTGTGGGCAGCAGTGAGATCCCGTCTCTTAAAATTAAAAAAAAAAAAAAAAGGACTATTAATTAGTAGTCACTGTTATTGTTCAAGGTAGAGTGTGTGGCGGGGGGCTGTCCCCTTTATTCTGTTTTGTTCTCATACTTTATACCACCTGAAATTACATTTTTTTTCACATTACTGTTCTCTCCTTAAGAGCAGGGACTTGTGTTTTTTGTTGTTGAGCTGTGGTCTCCATGTCTAAAACAGCACTTGGCACCTAATAGTTGTTTAATATTAATAAATACTGTAATGAATGGCATGATGATTGAATGAATTCAAGTCTAGCATGCTTTAGATGCTGAGAAAGCTTTATAAATCTTGCTTGCCTCTGCCGTCAGGGCTTGCAGCCTCTCCGTCCTAAACTAGAAGGGAAGAGAGAATCTTGGGTTCTCCAGTGACTGTCTGTACCCCTCCCTCTAGGTGAAGGTACTAAAGGAGAAGATAGAAGCTGAGAAAGGTCGTGATGCTTTCCCTGTGGCTGGACAGAAACTTATTTATGCCGGCAAGATCTTGAGCGATGATGTCCCCATCAGGGACTATCGCATTGATGAGAAGAATTTTGTAGTCGTCATGGTGACCAAGGTGGGTGACGTGTGCTGGCTGGAAGGGTGGGTGGATGAGCTGGGGAGCTGGCAAAGAGCCTGTGTGCCCAGGAGAGATTAGCTATGAACAGGGTGGGGCCACAGCAGAGCGGGTTGTTAGGTCTGATAGGGTTGCTGATGCCAGCTCCCTTTTTCTTGCTGTTGCAGACCAAAGCTGTCCAGGGTACCTCAGCACCCCCAGAGGCCTCACCCACAGCTGCCCCAGAGTCCTCTACATCCTTCCCGCCCGCCCCTACCTCAGGCATGTCCCATCCCCCACCTGCTGCCGGAGAGGACAAGAGCCCGTCGGAGGAATCCGCCCCCACAACGTCCCCAGAGTCCGTGTCGGGGTAAGGCGTGGGCAGCAGCCCCAGCTTGGGCCCTGTCCTTCCAGCACATTCCAGCACCCACATATGTTGTCCCACACAACTGGAGGGAGGGCAGGCCGCCAGAAGGCAGGATCCGATTTCTCTTTCTTGAATTTGCAGCTCTGTTCCCTCTTCAGGTAGCAGCGGGCGAGAGGAAGACGCAGCCTCCACGCTAGGTGGGTGGGTGGTCCCCAGGGCAGAAGCGACTGGGTGTCCCAGCCATCAGCTGGGCCTTGTCTGGGTGCGGGAGGGCCTGGGAGCTGCCCTTTCCTCTTCCTGGTAACCCAGGCTTTGCTGCTCCCTCCACAGTGACGGGCTCTGAGTATGAGACGATGCTCACGGAGATCATGTCCATGGGCTATGAGCGGGAGCAGGTCGTGGCCGCCCTGAGAGCAAGCTACAACAACCCCCACCGAGCCGTGGAGTATCTGCTCACGGTGAGGTGGGGCAGCCGCCTCCCGGGGAGGCCTTGAGGGAGGTCCAAGGGCTTCACTGCTCTCATGGGCAGTTGGGGAGGCAAAATCTGCCCAGAAAATCCTTTGGGTAGTAATTCCAGCCACTAAAGGTATCCCACAAGAGGCTGGATGTGAGTGATGGGTGGGCTTCCAGAGGGCAGGGCCGAGGCCTCATCTGTGTCCTGCCAGGGCATGGAGGAGGGTGGCAACAGGAGGTCTGTGCATTAGAACTAAATAGGACCCCTGACAGGGAATTCCTGGGAGCCCCGAACCAGAACACGGTTCTGTCCAGGAGAGCCAGGTATCGGAGCAGCCAGCTACGGAAGCAGGTGGGTGTGCACGTGCGGCATCTGTCCTCCAGTTACCTGATTCACACCACACTCCACCCCGCAGTGCTCCTGGGAGCCCAGCTCAGTGTCTGACTGCACCCCTTCCTACTACCAGCAGGAGAGAACCCCCTGGAGTTTCTGCGGGACCAGCCCCAGTTCCAGAACATGCGGCAGGTGATTCAGCAGAACCCTGCACTGCTGCCCGCTCTGCTCCAACAGCTGGGCCAGGAGAACCCTCAGCTTTTGCAGGTGTGATCCCAGGGGCAGAGGGGGGCAGAGGGGGGCAGAGGGGGCAGAGGGAGCCAGGGCAGCCACCATTTCCCTTCCCTGCGGGCACCAGAGTCCATAACATATAGGAGTCAATCTAATCCTGGAAAGCAGGACTAAGCACATTCTTCCCCAACACTCCCATGCTTCCTGTGACCTGTCGACCCCCACGGTTTCTCAGTCTTCCCAACTACCTTGTGAGGTGTGGGTGCTGTCAACATCACCTCCTGCAGAAGAAGACACTACAAGCTTAGAGCAGCCTGTCATTCCCAGGGCCACACAGCTGGTAGAGTATGTGTCTGCCTGCTGCCTCAGGGTCCTGGGCTGGGACTCTGGCTCTGGCTCCACATACAGATGGCACTACGTAAATGTCTGTAAGGTGACATGACATCACCCAGGACAGCTGTGTCCCAGTTGGCTCTGGGACCGCTGTGCTCAGTGAGGCTCCACCTTGGCCTTTAAATGTTCACAGGAAGAGTAGAGGGGTGGGCATCTGGGTGCAAGCAGGTTCCTCTGGGTCCTCTGTGAAGTGCCCACCTGTCTTGACTTGACCCTGCTGTCTGCCCCTTCTTTCATTTCTTAGTCCCTTGCCAGCTTCTCCTACCCAGTCCTGATCTTCATCTGTACTCAGTCCTCCCTCATAGTGTCCTGGGGCCTTCAGTCTATATGGGGGCCCCCAAATCTTTTATATATATGTGTGTATATATATATATATATATGTATATATATATATATATATATGTGTGTGTGTGTGTGTGTGTGTGTGTGTGTTTTATAAAGATGGGGTTTCACCATGTTGGTCAGGCTGGTCTTGAACTCCCGACCTCAGGTGATCCGCCTGCCTTGGCCTCCAAAGTGTTTGGATTACAGGTGTGAGCCACCGCGCCCAGCCCAAGGACCCCCACATCTGTGTAACCAGCCCAAGCCTCTCTGAATGCCATGTTCCATGGCTGGCTTAATCTGTCCATCAAAGTGCTTTTTAAAATTTATTTATTTTTTTGAGATGGAGTCTTGCTCTGTTGCAGTGGCATGATCTTGGCTCATGGCATCCTCTGCCACCCCATTCAAGTGATTCCCCTGCCTCAGCCTCCTGAGCAGCTGGGACTACAGGTGTGCGCTACCACACCTGGCTAATTTTTTTGTATTTTAGTAGAGACGAGGTTTCACCATGTTGGCCAGGATGGTCTTTATCTCCTGACCTCATGATCTGCCCGCCTCAGCCTCCCGAGTAGCTGGGACCACAGGCATGCGCCACCATGCCCAGCTAATTTTTTTGTATTTTTTTAGTAGAGACGGGGGTTTTACCATGTTGGCCAGGATGATCTTGATCTCTTGACCTCGTGATCCGCCCACCTCCGCCTCCCAAAGTGCTGGGATTACAGGCGTGAGCCACAGCACCCGGCCTTAGACTAGACTTCTAAGACTTTGAACATTCCCCAGCTCTCCCCCATCTCTGCAAGGACCAGCCTGGGGTTGCTTCAGCCTCAGGCCTTGGGGGCCAGCTGGGGTCCCTCTCCTGTCCTGTCTCTTCCCATCCAGCCCCTCCCTGCACTCCAGCTCCCTGGCAGCCTTCTCCAGGGCCTCTGCCACTGCACAGTACCACAGTCCATTGACTTTAAAACACTTTCTTTAATGTGAAAATGGTCAGATGTAGACAAGAGCAGAGAGAGTTGTATCAGAGCTTCCAGATACCCAGGCTGGGCACAGCAGCCCACACCTGTAATCCCAGCAGTTTGGGAGACCAAATTGAGCAGTGGGCAGATCAGTTGAGGTCAGGAGTTTGAGACCAGCCTGGCCAACATGGCGAAACCCCGTCTCTAATAAAACTACAAAAAGTAGCTGAGCATGGTGGCGGGCCACTGTAGTCCCAGCTGTTTGGGAGGCTGAGGCACGAGAATTGCTTGAACCCAGAAGACAGAAATTGCAGTGAACCGAGATTGCTCCATTGCACTCCAGCCTGGGTGAAAGAGTGAGACTGTCTTAAAAAGAACAGAAATGGGCCGGGCGCGGTGGCTCAAGCCTGTAATCTCAGCACTTTGGGAGGCCGAGGCGAGTGGATCACGAGGTCAAGAGATCGAGACCATCCCAGTCAACATGGTGAAACCCCGTCTCTACTAAAAATACAAAAAATCAGCTGGGCATGGTGGCACATGCCTGTAATCCCAGCTACTCAGGAGGCTGAGGCAGGAGAATTGCCTGAACCCAGGAGGCGGAGGTTGCGGTGAGCGGAGATCGCGCCATTGCACTCCAGCCTGGGTAACAAGAGTGAAACTCCGTCTCAAAAAAAAAAAAAAAAAGAACAGAAATGAAAACGAACAAATGAACTTCCACATACCCAAACCCAACACCCAGATGAGTTCACATTTTTTGGTTTGGTTTTGGTTTGGTTTGGGGGAATAGAGACAGGTTTTATATTGCCCAGGCTGGTCTTGAACTCCTGGGCCCAAGCAGTCCCTCCTGCCTTTCCTCCCAAGTTGTTGGGGTTACAGGCATGAGCCACCACACCTGGCCAAGTTCACCTTTCTAAAAGATTCAGACCACGTCTTTTCCTGAATAACTGTCACGACCGTGGCTTTCCACTGCTCTAGAAAATGGGTCTGACTTGGGCCTTCCTCTCTGGTCTTATTATCTGCCTCCTCCCTCTTCCCTTCCCTGTTCACTCTGTTCTTGCTTCTGAGATTTCTTGCTTCTGAGATTTCCCAGATGCGTCCACCCTGGGTCTTTGCACTTGGTGTCTGCTTTACCTGGAGGAAACCCTCTGCATCCCCCATGCTGCAGACCTCTCCTCCAGCCCTCATCCGCAGTTCCTTTCTAGCCAGACACTTGCAGTTGTCTGGTTTCATTTATTGGCTCATTTATTTGTTGATTTATTTATTTATATTTTTGAGAGTCTGTCACCCAGGCTGGAGTGTGGTGGTACAGTCTCAGTACCCTGCAACCTCCGCCTCCCGGTTCAAGGGATTCTCCTACCTTAGCCTTCTGAGTAGCTGGGATTACAGGCACTTGCCATCACACCCAGCTAATTTTTTTTTTTTTTTTTTTTTTTTTTGTCTTTTTGTTTTTTTCCTTTTTGTGGAGAACGGGGTCTCGCTATGTTGCCCAGGCAGGTCTCGAACTCCTGGGCTCAAGCTATCCTCCCGCCTCTGCCTCCCTAAGAGCTGGGATTACAGGCGTGAGCCACAGCGCCCGGCAACACCCAGCTAATTTTTGTATTTTTAGTAGAGATGGGGATTTTGCCATGTTGGCCAGGCTGGTCTTGAACTCCTGGCCTCAAGTGATCCGCCTGCCTGGGCCTCCCAAAGTGCTTGGATTACAGGCATGAGCCATTGTGCCCAGCCTGTTTCTTTCTTTCTTTCTTTATTCAAGATGGTCTTGCTTTGTTGTCCATGCTGGAGTACAGTGGCTTACTGCAACCTCCGCCTTTTGCGTTGTCTCATGCCTGAGCCTTCTGAGTAGCTGGGATTACAGGCGCCTGCCACCACACCTGGCTGCTGCTTCTCTTTTTAGTAGAGATGGGGGTTCACCATGTTGGCCAGGCTGGTCTCGAACTCCTGATCTCAAGTGATCCACCTGCCTTTGCCTCCCAAAGTGCTAGGATTATAGGCATGAGTCACCATGCCTGGCCCATTTCTTGGCTCACTTAAAGCCCATCATCAGCTCCACCAGAGCAGGGCTTGTGTTGTCTGCTATGTTTGGCCAGAATAGGCTCCTCTGGAGATTTGCCTGACTGAATGAAAAAGCAAGGGCTGTGAAGTCCTGGGGAGAGGAGGGAACAAGGGCTGTGAATTACCCTCTCTTCCCCACCCTCTCCTGCAGCAAATTAGCCGGCACCAGGAGCAGTTCATCCAGATGCTGAACGAACCCCCTGGGGAACTGGCGGACATCTCAGATGTGGAGGCGGAGGTGGGTGCCATAGGAGAGGAGGCCCCGCAGATGAATTACATCCAGGTGACGCCACAGGAGAAAGAAGCTATAGAGAGGGTAAGAGGTCTGGATGTGGGGGAATTGCAGGTGGGCAGAACCCCTACCCTCTACTGCTCACACTTACCCATCTTCCCACAGTTGAAGGCCCTGGGGTTCCCAGAGAGCCTGGTTATCCAGGCCTATTTCGCGTGTGAAAAAAACGAGAACTTGGCTGCCAACTTCCTCTTGAGTCAGAACTTTGATGACGAGTGATGCCAGGAGGCCAGGCCACCAAAACCCCCACCCTACCCCTACTCCATGAAAGTTTTATAAAAGAAAAAATATATATATATATTCATGTTTATTTAAGAAGTGGGAAAAAGAATCAAAAACCTTAAAAAAAATGAGCAAAAAGCCCAGCTTCCTGTCCTCCTAAAGTGGCCCCTGTTCCCATCTTGCTCTGAGAAGACCCAGGCCAGACAGCTGTCCCCCTATCCTCCTCCCCAGCCCAGCCTGCTCAGAGAAGCTGGCAGGACTGGGAGGCGACAGATGGGCCCCTCTTGGCCTCTGTCCCAGCTCCCTGCAGCCAGATGGAAAGGCGGCTGCTTGCTTCTCCATCTTCCGAAGAATCCCTGAGGACCCCCCATCCCATCCTCTTCTAGGATGAGGGGAAGCTGGAGCCCCAAAATTTGATCCTCCATTGGAGCAGCCCAAATCTTTCCATCTGGGGTGAGCCCTGAAAGGTTCAAGGCCCCCTCCCCAGTCTGGCCTTGGCCTCCGGCCTAGAGAAGGGCTAACAGCTCAATGTTAAGGCTACCCCCACCCCAGAACAGAACCGTGTCTCTAATAAAGGTTTTGAAGTGAATAAAGTTTAAAAAACCAGCCCTATGGTCCGTGCCTGCTGGGGCTCCCCACGCCCACCTGTCTGAGTCTGGGGGCTGTCTGGGCACAGGCAGGCGTGGTGATGGGTGCCGGGAAGGGGGAGAGGAGTCTGTGAGTCCTTGCAGATTGGGGCTCCCAGTGTCTTCTCCCCCAGTGTGTCATTTCCAGGCAGTGGACCCCAGCCCAGCCTTACAGGGACTGCTTCTCCCTGGTCCCCACCATCATCACCACAGTCTGTTTTGGCTGTACTTCCCCCCCTCCCCCCGACCCCATAATTGGCTAATTACTGGAGATGAATGTTGGTAAACAGAAGCCTTCTCCTCTTCTGCCATCTGCTTCTCTATTATTTGCCCATTGCATCCCCCCCCACCCCTTTTCTCGTCCTGAAGCCTCAGTCAGCAGGGCCTGCAATCCCTGTCCCCCTTTTGAGTAGAGCCAAGTGGGGGATTCCCCAGCCCAGCCCTAGGTGTTTCAGGAGGAACCAGGGGACCCAGAGAGGCACACATTGAGAGGACACAGATCTCTTCAGGGGGACTGCCAGGGAGCAGGCTTTTATTGGGAAAGGACAAAGGCTCAGGAGCTGGGTGCCCCAGAGGTGGCTGGGTCCTGGGCTGCCGTCTCAGCCATTGCAGCAGCTCGCGCCTCCTTCTTCTGTCTTTGTTTTTCCTCCTTGAGACGCTTGCGCTCCTTCTTCTCTAGGTCCTGGAGCAGCTCCTGGAAGCGGGCGCTCCTTGGGTCCACTTGGTAGCCCAGGCGCTCCTGGGCCTCAGCCTGCAGTCGGGCCCTCCTCTCCTTGTCAGCCTCTGCCTTCTCCCTGCGCTCCCGCTGCTGCTGTCGCCATTTCTCAATCATCCTTGGCATCTTGGCCATGCACTCTGCAATGTGCTGCTCCCTGCAAGGGAGGGAGAGTGGGCCGTGACACTGGCACTCAGCCAGGGCAGAGCTCACCCACCCATATCCCACCCATAGACCTTTGCACACTAGCCTCCTCAACTCCCCCTGTAGGTTAACTGTCAGGAGAAACCCTTGACAAGTGAAGAAACAGGAAGAGATGAAGAGAGAGTTACTTGTGCATGAATTTGATCACAAGGGTGTGTCAAGCCCCAGTAAGCCCCACGTGCCAAAGCCAAATCAACATTTCACTGAGCGCCTACTGAGCCACCAAGTGCCACTCCCATGGACAATTTCACACGTTTATTCCAGACATTGCTGAGTACCTACTGTAGGCCAGGCCCAATTCTAGGCACAGGAGTGAAAGCAAGAAAGACATTTCCCACCAATACTTGTGTTTGTAGCTACCAGTCACAGCCCCATTTTTTTTCTTTAACTTTTTGTACAGATTTATTTCATCACCCAGATATTAAACCTAGTACCCAGTAGTTATCTTTCCTGATCCTTTCCCTCCACCCTCCAAAAGGCCCCAATGTGTGGTGTTCCCCTCTGTGTGTCCATGTGTTCTCATCATTTAGCTCCCACTTAGAAGTGAGAATATGTTGTATTTGGTTTTCTGTTCCTGTGTTAGTTTGCTAAGGATGATAACCTCCAGTTCCATTCTCGTCCCTTCAAAGGACATGATCTTGTTGTTAGTCAGCCTCATTTACGGATTAGAAAAGTGAAGAATTGAGCCGCCCTATAAGAGGGTCATCAGGCTGAGGAAGGGCAGAAACAGGAGTCCCTGCTCCAACATTCCCTGCCTGGGTGATCAGACACATGACTTCACTTTGCCAAGCCTCAGTTTCCTCATCTCTAAAATTAGGGCAATCCCTTCTTCCTCTTAATGCTATTGGGAAAACCAGAAAGGTAAATACCAGGAACACACTTGACCTACCCCCTCTGCCATCCAGGATGTGGCATTATCTGTAACAGATAACCCTGGTTCAGCCACGCGCAGTGGCTCATGCCCGTAATCTCAGCACTTTGGGAGGCCGAGGCAGGTGGATCACCTGAGGTCAGGAGTTTGAGACCAGGCTGGCCAATATGGCGAAACCCTGTCTGTACTAAAAATACAAAAAATTGGCCGGGTGCGGTGGCTCAAGCCTGTAATCCCAGCACTTTGGGAGGCTGAGGCGGGTGGATCACGAGGTCAAGAGATCGAGACCATCCTGGTCAACATGGTGAAACCCCGTCTCTACTAAAAATACTAAAAATTAGCTGGGCATGGTGGCGTGTGCCTGTAATCCCAGCTACTCAAGAGGCTGAGGCAGGAGTATTGCTTGAACCTGGGAGGCAGAGGTTGTAGTGAGCCGAGATCTCACCATGGCACTCCAGCCTGGGGAACTAGAGCTTAACTCCACCTCAAAAAAAAAAAAAAAAAAAAAATGCCTGTGGTCCTTCAGACTTGCCTCCATACCCAACCTTTGCCCTTGGTTCCAGGACCCCCATCACCTTCCTGCCCTCACTTTTCCCCAGCCACACTTGCCACTTGGTTCTTCTTTAAGGCATATCCTATCTCAGGACATTTGCCTCAGCTGTTCCTTAGGAACTCTTTACCCAAGAAATCTCCCCATGGCTAAATCTGGTTATTCAGGTCTTTGCTTAAACATCGTCATCTCAGAGAGTACTGAACCAAAGCTGCCCTCAGGCAGGCACTCTTCACTCTTTTATCTTCCTAATAGGCAGTCCACTGTGGCCATCTGATACTATCTTGCCTGTTTCCTGCTGGGACAGGATTTTGTTTTGTTTTGAGATGTAGTTTTCCTCTCTTCCCCAGGCTGGAGTGCAGTGGCCCAATCTCAGCTCACTGCAACCTCTGCCTCCAGGGTTCAAGCTATCCTGCCTTAGCCTCCCTAGTAGCTGGGATCACAGGCGTGTGCGACCACGCCCGGCTAATTTTTGTATGTAGTAGAGACAGGGTTTCGTCATGTTAGTCAAGTTGGTCTCGAACTCCTGGCCTCAGGAGCCCTTTGGGGCCTGCCTCGGCCTCCCAAGATGCTAGGATTACAGGCGTGAGCCACCGCGTCCAGCCTGGGACGGGTTCTTGCACACGGTGTGCGCTCAGTAAATTCTTGCTGATGATGGCCGGTCGCAGTGGCTCACGCCTATAATCCCAGCTACTCGGGAGGCTGTGGCAGGAGAATCGCTTCAACCCTGGAGGCGGAGGTCGCGCCACTGCACTCCAGCCTGGGCAACAGAGTAGGACTCTTTAAAAACAAAAAAACGACTTGCTGATGAATGACTAAATGGACTGTTACTGAGTTTGTTTTGCGGCCAGGTGAGCGTATACATAAATCTACAACATGTAGATGCCGTGAGGTGCCCCCTATGGGGTAGGCACGGTTTGGGCCCAGTTCGCCCACGGGACACACAGGGGAGCCCCGCGTTTTCCTGCACGCACGCACCTCTCCTGACGCTTCTGCTCTTCGGCCAGCTGCTTCACCCGCAGCGACTCCTGCATGGTCGCCAAACTTGGGTACCATTCGCGCTCGTTGGCCTCCAGCTCCCGCAGCTGCTCGGTCGACGGCCATAGCGAACCCGGGTCCACCCCGGAGGCAGCGCCGTAACGCGCGAACTGCTTAGCTGCGTAGCGCGGACTCAGCTGCCATCGCGGGGTCAGGAGGTCCTCGGGGTCTGGCCACCGGGGTCCTGGCCTGCGGCGCGGGGGCGGGGGCGCCCGGTAGCCACGGGAACCCAAGGTTGCCGCCAGGCCCAGCAGGCTATGTGCCTGTCGCACGGACGCCGCCATCTTGGCCGTGCGGGGTCCTCGCACGCCGGCCGGGCTGTTCAAAGCGCTGCCTGAGCGCGAGGCCCGGTGGGGGCCGGGGCAGGGCGAGGGACGGCCCTGCTGCCTCAGTTCAGAGGCGGGGGAGTGAGGCGAAGGAGTTACTGTAGATTTTATACATTTCGAAGAATAGCTTTAAGTTTTAGTTAAACAGTTACTTATTAAAGTCATTTTTAATTTTCAGTTTTTTTCCTCTGCACGCTGACACTTCAAAAAAATGTGTTTTTAAGCGTTCAGTGTTCTTTGGGTAAAAAATTATATATATATATAGATATAGATATAGATATAGATATAGATATAGATATAGATATAGATATTTTTTTTTTGAGACGGAGTTTCGCTCTTGTTACCCAGGCTGGAGTGCAATGGCACGATCTCGGCTCACCGCAACCTCCGCCTCCTGGGTTCAGGCAATTCTCCTGCCTCAGCCTCCTGAGTAGCTGGGACTACAGGCGTGCGCCACCATGCCCAGCTAATTTTTGTATTTTTAGTAGAGAGGGGGTTTCACCATGTTGACCAGAATGGTCTCAATCTCTTGACCTCGTGATCCACCCGCCTCGGCCTCCCAAAGTGCTGGGATTACAGGCTTGAGCCACCGCGCCCGGCCCCAAAAATAATATTTTTAATTTTACTTCTATGCATTTAAACTAGCATTTATTACTTTTTAAAATTTAAATGCGGCCGGGCGCGGTGGTTCACTGCTGTAATCCCAGCACTCTGGGAGGCCGAGGCGGGCATCACCTGAGGTTAGAGTTTGAGACCAGCCTGGCCAAAATGGTGGAACCCCGTCTCTATTAAAAATACAAAAAGCCGGACGTGGTAGCGCACGCCTGTAATCCTAGCTACCGGGGAGTCTGATGCAGGAGAATCGCTTGAAACTGGGAGGTGCGGTTGCCCCACTGCTCTCCAGCCTGGGAGAAAAAAAATAAAATTCTGTCATAATGCTGTGACATGGATGAACCTTGGGGACATTAGGCTAAGTGAAATAAGGCAGTCACAAAAGGGTAAAAATTGTATTCAGTTATATGAGGGAACTAGAGTAGTCAAATTCATAGAGACAGAAAGTAGATTAGGTGTTACCAGGGGCTGAGGGTGGAGGAGTGGGAGATATTGCTGAGTATGTTTCATATTGTAAAATATACACAATAAAGAAAATTTGTGTTTTGTTTTCGTTTTGAGTCAAAGTCTCGCTCTGTCTCCCAGGCTAGAGCACAGTTGCGTGATCTCTGCTCACTGCAACCTCTGCCTCCTGGGTTCAAGGGATTTTCGAGCTTCTGCCTTCTGAGTAGCTGGGACCACAAGCTCTAGCCACCATGCCTAGCTAATTTTTGCATTTTAGTAGAGATGGGGTTTTACCATGTTGGCCAGACTGGTATCAAACGCCTGACCTTAAGTGATCCGCCCTCCTCGGCCTCCACAGTGCTGGGATTACAGGTGTGAGCCACCATCTGGCCAATTTTTTTTTTTTTTTTAGATGGGGTCACACCATGTTGGTCAGGCTGGTCTTGAACTCCCTATCTCAGGTGATCCGCCCGCCTTGGCCTCCAAAGTGCTAGAATTACAGGCGTGACCCACCATGCCCGGCCTTTTGTTTTTAATCACACACATGCACACCTTCTCTGCCCCCGCAAAAAAGAATTGTATTTTTCTCAAGACATGAATGTTCATAGGAACATCATGTATATATGTCATTCCCAAGCTGGAACTAGCTCACACCCAATGTCCGTCCCAAGTAGAATGGTCACCTAAATTATGCTGTTTCAGCCAATGGGCTACTACACAGGAATGAAAGCAGATATTACATCTGCCCACAGCAAGATGGATGATTTTTATAAGCATAATGTGCAACAAAGGAAGCAGGATTTATATGGTTGCTTTTTTTTTTTTTTTTTTTTGAGACGGAGTTTCCCTCTTGTTACCCAGGCTGGAGTGCAATGGCGCGATCTCGGCTCACCGCAACCTCTGCCTCCTGGGTTCAAGCAATTCTCCTGCCTCAGCCTCCCGGGTAGCTGGGACTACAGGCGTGCGCCACCATGCCCAGCTAATTTTTTTTTTTTTTTTGTATTTTTAGTAGAGACGGGGTTTCACCATGTTGACCAGAATGGTCTCGATCTCTTGACCTCGTGATCCACCCGCCTCGGCCTCCCAAAGCGCTAGGATTACAGGCGTGAGCCACCGCGCCCGGCCTATATGGTTGCTTTTTAACTTAAATTTAATTTTTTCTTTGACACAGGGTCTTGCTTTGTTGACCAGGCTAGAGTGCACGGGCTTGATCATAGCTCACTGCAGTCTTGAGTTCCTGGGCTCAAGTGATCCTCCCCCCTCAGTCTTTCAAGTAGGTAGATACAGGAATGAACCACTACTTCCACCTAAATTTTAAATTTTTTTGTAGAGACAGGGTTTCTCTATGTTATCCAGGCTGATCTTGAACTGCTGGGCTCCCCCTCCCCCTCCTCTACCCCCTTCTCTTCCCCTTCCCCTTCTCCTTCCCTTTCCTACTCTCCCCTTCTCTCCCCACCCTGCTTCCCTCCCTTCCCTCTTGACAAGATCCCACTCTGTCATCCAGGCTGGAATACACTGGCATGATCAGTGCAGCCTCAACCTCCTGGCCTCAAGTGAGCCTCCCACCTCAGCCTCCTGAGTAGCTGGAACTGCAGGCACTCACCATCAAGCCTGGCTGATTTTTGTATTCTTTGTAGAGATAGAGTCTCAATATGTTGCCCAGGGTGGTCTTGAATTTCAGGGCTCAAGTTATCCTCCTGCCTTGGCCTCCCAAAGTGTTGAGATTACAGTTATGAGCCACAGTGCCTGACCTGAGAATATTTTCATCGTGGAAACCTGTAAGTCTGTACCCATGAAACACTCACTCCCCAGTTTCCCTTCCGCCTGCCCAGTCCTTAGCAGCCACTATTCTACTTTCTGTTTCTATGAATTTGGACTACTCTAGGTACCTCATATAAGTGGAATTATACATACTTGTCCTTTTGTAACTGGTTTATTTTTTATTTTGAGACAGGGTCTTGCTCTGTTCCCCAGGCTGAAGTGCAGTGGCATGATCATAACTCGCTGCAGAATCGACCTCCTGGACTCAAGTGATCCTCCCACTTCAGCCTCTCAAGTAGCTGAAACTGCAGGAACTCACCTGGCAATTTTTTTTTTTTTTTTTTTTTTTTTTTTTAGACAGTCTTGCTTTATTGCCCAGGCTAGAGTACAGTGGTGGGATCTCGGCTTACTGCAACCTCCGCCTCCCAGGCTCAAGCAATTCTCCTTCCTCAGCCTCCCAAGTAGCTGGGACTACAGGCAGGAGCCACCTCTGCCTGGTCTAATTTTTATTTTTTTTTAAATTTTCAGTAGAGACAGGATCTCACTATGTTACCCAGGCTGGTCTCTAACTCCTGAGCTCAAGCAATCCTCCAGCCTCTGTCTCCTAAAGCGTTGGGATTATAGGTGTAAGCCACTGCACCTGGGACTGACTTAATTTAGTTACTATAATATCCTAAAACTTTTTCTTTTTCCTTTTTGAGACTGAGTCTCATTCTGTTGCCCAGGCTGGAGTGCAGTGGCTCGATCTTGGCTCACTGCAACCTCCTCCTCCCGGGTTCAAGCAATTCTTGTGCCTCAGCCTCCCCAGTAGCTGGGATTACAGGCACCTTCCACCACACCTGGCTAATTTTTGTATTTTTAGTAGAGACAGAGTTTCACCATGTTGGCCAGGCTGGTTTCAAACTCCTGACTTCAAGTGATCTGCCTGCCTTGGTCTCAGAAAGTGCTGGGATTATAGGTGTGAGCCACCACGTCCAGCATATCCTAAAGTTTCAACTATGTTGCAGCACGCGTCAGAATTTCTTTCCTAGCCTGGGCATCATTGTGAAACCCTGTCCCTACAACAAATATAAAATTTAGTCAGGCGTAGTGGTGCATGCCTGTAGTCCCACCTACTTTGGAGGCTGAGGCAGGAGGATCTTTTGAACCTGGGAGGTGGAGGCTCCAGTGAGCTGTGGGCATGTCACTGCACTCCAACCTTGGTGACAGAGCGAGACTATCTCAAATTTTTTTCTTTCCTTTTTAAGGCTGAATGCTATTCCATTGTATGGATGGACCACATTTTTTTTTCTTCCAACAGCAGATGTCATGCTGAAAGGATGAATAACATGGATCACATTTTGTTTATTCATTCATCGATACACATGGACATTTGGGCAGCCTCCAGTTTTTGCCTGTTGTGAGTAATGATCTTATGAACATGGATATACAGCATTTTTTTTGTATTTAGACAGTCTCACTCTGTTGCCAGGCTGGAGTGCAGTGGCTCCATCTTGGCTCACTGCAGCCTCCACCTCCCAGTTTCAAGCAGTTCTTCTGCCTAAGCCTCCCAAATAGCTGGGACTACAGGTGTGTGCAACCACACCCAGCTAATTTTTTTTTTTTTGAGATGGAGTTTCGCTCTTGTTACCTAGGCTGGAGTGCAATGGTGCCATCTCGGCTCACCACAACCTCCGCCTCCTGGGTTCAGGCAATTCTCCTGCCTCAGCCTCCTGAGTAGCTGGGATTACAGGCATGTGCCACCATACCCAGCTAATGTTTTTTTTTTTTTTTTTGAGATGGAGTTTCGCTCTTGTTACCCAGGCTGGAGTGCAATGGCGCGATCTCGGCTCACCGCAACCTCCGCCTCCCGGGTTCAGGCAATTCTCCTGCCTCAGCCTCCTGAGTAGCTGGGATTACAGGCACATGCCACCATGCCCAGCTGATTTTTTGTATTTTTAGTAGAGACGGGGTTTCACCATGTCGACCAGGATGGTCTCGATCTCTCGACCTCGTGATCCACCCGCCTCGGCCTCCCAAAGTGCTGGGATTACAGGCTTGAGCCACCGCGCCCGGCTAATGTTTTGTATTTTTAGTAGAGACGGGTTTTCACCATATTGGTCAGGATGGTCAGGATGGTCTCAATCTCTTGACCTCATGATCCACCCACCTCAGCCTCCCAAAGTGCTAGGATTGCAGGTA